TTTAAGTGGCACCCAGTGTGTACCAACAGAGAACATTTCCTGGAGAAGCAGGGCTTTATTTATTCAGAGGGGCAGCAGAGGGCGATGCGGCAGGGTAGAAGCAAGCTCACTGCTACGTGGTGTGTTTCTTTTGTGATGTTTACCATCTGGTTCTTACACTGAGAACATCTAGGCTCTTGTTTGTTTTATCCTAATCATTAGAAAAAGTCTCCTAGGACCTCGATACTCATAGTGGCTCCAGAGGCCGACAGCTCTTCACTGAGAGCTGGTTAGAAATGCAGATCTTGGGCTCCCCAGACCTGCTGAATGGGCACACACATGGAACAATATCCCACGAGTGCACACGAAAGCCTGAGTGGCCCTGCTCCAGGGCAAATCTTGCAAACATGCAGATTCTGAAGAATGGATTCCTACCAGGCTACTTGTTTAAGGAGAGTATTCTCATGCACCAGTTCTGTCAGACTTTCAGGGAAAATAAACTAAGGGGAGGGAGAGTTTGCAAATTCTCATTCCTGTTGATTTCATAAAAGCAAATTACAGGACAGAAAGGCTCATCAATTCCTGGGAGCTCACTAGGTACTCTTCATCATTATAACTTGGTCTTCATGGGTTACTCAAGTATATTTCTTCTTTTCTCTTTAATTATGAGTTTTATTTATTATTTATTTATTTCTGGAAGGAGGACTGGCCAGTGACATAACCTGTGATTCAAATGCACCCCTTTCCCATCTTGACTGGTCTCTAGTCACCCTCACTCCCCTCCCCCACCTGCCATCACAGCACCACAGCCACGCTCCTAGCCTCTGACCATCACCTGCTGGGCTGCCCAGGACCCACCCTCTTCTGCTTCCACCATCTCCATTAACCTGCCGCTCCATCTGCGCTATGTCATCCCGGTCTCCTTCACCCTGTAGCTTGGTTGTGATGTCTTCTGCTTGCCCTTCCCCAGTCCCCTCTCCTCCCTTTGTCACCAGGCCCTGAGCTCCAGAAGGCTGACATGTGGTAGGGAGGGACTTCATCAATGGCCCTCTTCTCTCCTAGCAAGAGGGGAGTAGGGTTAGGACACTGGGTCCCTGGGCTCACTCTTCAGGGCCCCTCTCTACACAGGGCTCTCTCAGGTTCTGGTTACAGCTCCCTCCTCTGGTCCCTGCAGGCTGGCTGCCACACTTACACCTCTGTACATGATCCCTTTATTAAACTCTCCTCAAATTACCCAAGTGAGTGTGCCATCTGTCTCCTCCTGTGCCCCGACACACAACTCTGCTACCCTATATACACCTCACACTCTTGAAGTCCCCAGTGACTTCTAAAAGATACATCCAATGGCCATTTCTTTTCCCTTCTTCCTCTTCCTGTTGGATCTGATGGACAGTTCCCCTTGCATGCCCCCCAACACACCATGTCAGTATACCTGAAATAACTCATATTACTCTCACAACCCCCTTCCAGGGCCATTACCCCTTACCCCCTCCTCCACCCTGACACTAGCTTCTACCTGCCTTCAGTTCACCCCCCACTCCTTCTCAGAGAGTCTTACAATTGTGCAGCAAGTCCTTAGACTCCCCCGGTCTAATCCAGTGCAGGCACTGAAACCTGATGAGAAGCCTGCAGCTCACCTGGCTGGTTTACAATGCGGGGCACATCTGCCCCTCCATGTCCTCTCCATCCACGCCCCACCTCTTGATTCTCTCGTGATATTCTCTCATCAACCTCCTTGATGACTTCTCCATTGCAGTCTCTCACTCTAGTGGCAAATAAATAGTCTTAGAAACACTATTGAACATATCATGCACCAGCTCAAAACTGCTTGGCTACCCAGTTTGCACAAGTCCCTAGCCCTGGCATGCAGTGGAGATGTCCCTTTCTAGCTGTAGGGCAGCCTGCAGCCTCCTCTCACCTGTAGGAATGAATCTTCCTCTGCAGCTCCATTGAGTCACTGGAGCCCACCCAAGGCTCTCTGATCTGTCCCAAACTTAGGCATCCTTCTGGAGCCCCGATCTAGCTTGGAAAACCCTCGGGGGCTCTTCCTGAGGCTTCCTACAGTCCTGTATTTTCTGTCCCATTCATTTCCTACAGTCCTGTGTTTTCTGTTCCATTTAGCACCAAACAATTAATCATGTCCTACTTTTGGCTGCCTTGAACAGCTACAAAAGACACCCATTTAAACAGCCTCTGTCTAAAGCCCCTAGTCAGACTGAAGGTCTCTGGAGACACAATTTTTTATTTTGTGTAGCTCTTTATCTCTAAGCATCTAGCAGAATGAGATACAAACAGAAAGCATCCAAAGACAGAGTATGGTCTCTGTTTTACAACAGGAGCATAAATGAATAAAAGATGGCAAAGCCTGTCCTGGAGTCTCTCAATGCCCTGTGCACCAGAGAAGGTGCAGTAAGAGGCAGCCCCACCTCTGTTGGCCTCCAAACCACCCAAAATGAGGTTTCCGATTTCTGGTTTCAGTTTTCTATATAAATCTGGCCTCATTACAACTGATTAATATATTGCAAATTCTACTTAAATGTAGGTTATGATTTACAGATTTTTTCTCCAAAGATGCTAAAGTGTTTCTATATCCTGACCCTCCTAGGGGATCTTCATGTGAGGCCAGTGACGCCACCTCTGTGCTCAGGTGTAAGCCACCCTGTCAACATCTTACCTGGAAGCTTGTAGTCACTCCCCAACTGGCTGCCTCTGCTCACCCTCCCCCAGTCTCATCCACTGCAGCACAAGGTATTTTTTTTCAAACCGAAAAGTTGATCCTGTCATTCTCTGCCACTCTAACCTTTCATCCCTCCCATGAGGATGGCTCGCCCTTCTCCAGCTCCCTCTCCATCCCCCTCTACCTGGCAGCCTCAGTAACCTGACCTTCAGGTTTCTGCCTAAATGTCACTTATTACCTGTCCACATGCCCACCTGCCTGTAAGACATTAACGAAAGGGCAGAGGTTTTCACCTAATCCCTCTTCCTCTGGTCAGAGCAGCATTCCTATGCAGAGTAGGTCCCCAAGACACCAGCTTCACTTTCCTCATGACAAAAACCAGTGATGGAATTCGGAGCCAGCTGAGTCATTTGAAGGGGCCTATTCTCTGACACATCACAAAGTCTCATTCTTGACTCAAATCAATCTGAGCTATAATACCCAGGAAGAGCTACTCTGTTCCTGCTATAGAGTCCTCGGCTGGAGAGGAGGTGACGAAGTCAGGCATAGCAGACACCTCTTCACAGGCTCCTCATGACCTCACCAGAGAACCACTGAGTAGCTCTGGAGAAGTTACTCAGATGATGGGCCTTCGTCTCCCTCTTTCTCTTCTCTTTACTTTTATCGTGGTAAATGTTATATATAGTTAATGTAAGTATTACTATTGTGACCATTTCTGAGTGTCAAGGTCTGTGGCGTTGAGTGCATTTGCATTGTTGTGGAACCATCACCACCATCTAACTCCACAACGTTTTCATCTTCCCAAACTGTACCCTGCAAACAATACCTTCCCACTTGCCACCCCACAGCCCTTAGTAACTACCGTTCTACTTTCTGTCTCTGGATTTGACTACTCTAGTACCTCATGAGTGGAATTACATATTTGTCCTTTTGCAACTGGCTTATTTCATTTAACATAAGCTCTTCAAGATTTATCCATGTAGCATGTGGCAGAATTTCCTTCCTTGTGAATAATATTCCATTGTACAAACAGGTCACATTTTGTTGATTCATTCATCTGTCTATGGACACTTGGGATGCCTCCAACTTTTGGTTTTCCCTCTTGTACAATGGATTAAATCTTAATCTGCTTTAAAGACAAAAGCAAACACCACTTCCCCCAGCCAACTGTAGCAGGGGCTGCCCAGGCCCATCACCCTGGCACCTGCTGGGTCCACCCAGGGCTTTGTGTGCACTTGGGACTCTCGGCCTGAGGCTGCCTTGGCCTGCACTTCTAAGTGCTTGGACATTAACAGTCCAGGAGCAGCCTAGACCCACTGACCATAGGGAGCTGGTGTATGAATGCCCCATCCAGCTCCCTCACTCCTCGGGGGCTGCAGTGACTTACTCTCCAGTGAATTCTGCTGTCCTGGCCTCCCTCCTTCCCTGTCTCACTTCCCCTCTCCCCTAACCAGTGCTGCCTGGCCTTACCTCCCAGGCATACAACTTATACTTCTAGGGGAATCCAAACTAAGATGCTAATCAACCTCATCCTTCCCTCACACCCTCTTCTCCACCCAAGGTACTGAGGGCAGCACCAAGCACGCACATGCACTGAGACATAGAGGGGACATACAATATGGACTCTCTGATTTGAGAACCTCATTGTTCACCTGAAATGGCAACAATTCCCTGCCCCACACAACAGCAAGCTGCAGGGCAGCTATCTCAGCAGGGGATCCTGACCCAAATCAGCCGGGAAATCTTCCTGGAAATGAGCAGGGAGGACCCCTTCTGAGGGCTCCCAGCTCGTGATGGCAGCTGTGGGTTCCTGCTGAGACAAACCAAGTTGCCCTTCTGGCTCATGGCTGGCTTAACTTTCCAAATGTACCAAGTAGTGTCTCCACATGCTGGGTGAAGCCACAACCATTCCAAGGCTGTCTCCTCTGGCAGAGGCATGATGGGCAGTCAGACCCATAGGGAATCTGGCTCCTGCAGGGATGGTTGCCCTGCCTTCCTTCTGAGGACTCTGTTAGCCCCTTTGTGCCAGTGCAAGGACACATCACTCTCTTACCCATGTTTAGGCAGCCAAGGGGAGACCTAAACCAGGGGGAGGTATTGGTACAGACTAAACACCAAGTTGTCCAGGCCCAACTGGTACCTGTCACCACAGGGACAAGACTCGCTCATTGGATGAATGCAGAGACTCAGGTTTAACTCTGTCTCCTTCTTCTGCCTGCCTTGCTTTCTCCCTTCTGCAAGGCCCATTCTGTCACACTGACCCTTTCCTGAAAACTGCAGAAGATGCAATGACCTAGCTACAGCTCTAGTAATAACACAACAGCAAGAGAGAGACAGTGGGACTTTTAAAAGAGCAGGTGTCCTTAACATCCATCTGCATCCACTACTTTTACTGGAAGTAGAATTCATGTAGTTAAAAGGTCATGGATCAGATATCATCTGTGACTTACGGGTGGTGGCAGGACACAAGCTGCAGAGAGGATGGGTGACCGGCTGTGCAGACATGGCCAAGTCCAAGAACCACACCACACACAACCAGTCCTGAAAAAGGCACGGAAATCGTATCAAGAAACCCCGATCACAATGATACGAATCTCTTAAGGGGGCGGACTCCAAGTTCCTGAGGAACATGCGCTTTGCCAAGAAGCACAACAAGAAGGGCCTAAAGATGATGCAGGCCAACAAGGCCAAGGCCATGAGTGCACGTGCCGAGGCCATCAAGGCCCTCGTAAAGCCCAAGGAGGTTAAGCCCAAGATCCCACAGGGTGTCAGCCACAAGCTCGACCAACTTGCCTATGCTGCCCACCCTAAGCTTGGGAAGCATGCTCATGCCCACATTGCCAAGGGGCTTAGGATCTGCCGGCCAAAGGACAAGGCCAAGGGCAAGGATCAAACCAAGGCCCAGGCTGCAGCTCCAGCTTCAGTTCCAGCTCAGGCTCCCAAAGGTTCCCAGGCCCTACAAAGGCTTCAGAGTAGATATCTCTGTCTGCCAATGTGAGGACAGAAGGACTGGTGCAACTGCCCCACGCTACTACTGCCCGCCATCTGCATGGTGCTGGGGTCCTCCTGTGTTATTTGTACAAATAAACCTGAGGCAAGAAATGAATGAATCAATGAATGGTCATGGATCATGTAATTCTCCATCTTGATTCTGGAATTTGGAGGATGACTGCTTTTCACTGGTTCAGCTGAGAACCTTTGCTTAGACCTGCAGTGATTTTAGGGCTTGTGGACAGTTTTAAGAAACAACCATTGATTACAAAATAGAGCTTACTAAATTCCGCAAAGCTCTGTGCCTCCACCTCTCCATCAGCTCACAACTTGTTCCAACCTGACCAGCAAGGCCAAGAGCAATACCTGTTTACTTAACAAATATTTATTGAATACCCACCCTCCTGATATATTATACTAGAGTCTATATTTAAAAAAAACTGATGATGAGGGACCTGCCTTCTGGGAGCCTCTAATCTAGTAACAGATAGACCAGCAAGAGCCCAACAACCACAGCACTAACCGTGTGTCAGCTGCTGTTCCAAATGCCTCACATCTACTAACTTCCTTAATCCTCTTAGCGGCTTTTGAGGAAGGTACTATTACTCTTACAACACAGGAGGAGGGAACAACTGACCTCACTGCCTCCAATCACCCAAAGACACTTGGCTATCCAGTACAAACCAGGCTCACTCACATTCTTAACCCCTATGCCGTACAAACTGCCCAGAAGCCCAACCGGGGGAGCGATCTGTGCATTTCACGTGGTCACTGTGCTCTGAGTCTGTTCTCTCCCTTTCTGAGCCTCAGAACAGAGCTGTCTGTCACAGGGAAGCCACGTGGAAAAACGAACGTCTGCTCACCTTTCTGAACCTGCCACATTCTGCTGACCCCTGTTCACAGCAGTTTTGCATGAATAATGGCTAAAGTCAAGGTTTTGATGGAGACAAAAAATAAAAACCCTAGACATCTTATGAAATGTTAATTAGGATGTCAGAGGGCTCTGAGTTTTGACAGAGGTTTTTCCTGCCACAGAGGGCAAGTCCCTGCCATCTTGCTTCTGTGAGTCACTGAAATAGCCTTCGCTATTTCATCTCCTTCTATAATTTATACACGTTGAAGTACAAGGTTGCAATAGAATATAACGCATGTGTAGGGAAATATCCATTCATATTTGCATGCACGCACATGCCTCCTATTTGGATTGGGTTTTCTTTAAAGAAAATTTTTTAAAAATATGGAATGCTTCCCGAATTTGCATTTCATCTTTGCGAAGGGGCCATGCTAATCTTTTCTGTATCATTTATTTGGGTTGTTATAACACAACCTGCACATTCCTTATCTTACGGAGGAAAAGACATGGACATTAGCCAGGCACAGTGCCTGGTACTTAGAAGGACACAGATGTTTAGTCAGGGCTGGACATTGTCTTGAGCTTCTCAGAATCTAATGATGAGAAAGAAAGATCATTGGAGAATTCATTTTAAGACACTTATGAGAAGAGTGCTTGTTACGTTCAAAAAAAGGAGCTGGTGAGGCTGCCAGGAGTGGAATGAGGGTGACAGGGAGTCAGGGAAGGCTCCCCAGAGGAGGAGACTGCTACCTTGGTCTGGAACACTAAGCAGAAATAATTTCCAGTTTGAAAATAATATCAAAACTGTATGCAGGGAAACAGGCTGATGGGGAAGGGGCATTTCCTAGCCAGAACGGATGAGACAGGGGCTCAGGGAAGGAGCTTTGGAGCCAGGAGGCTCAGGTTTGGGCTTGCATCCCTACTTGCTGGGCCTAGGACCTTGAGCAATTAATCATTTCACCTGTCTCCTTACCTGCAGAAAGGTGACTGCAGACTATCTCATTTAATTCTTATTACAAAGACCTTGGCCCACCCAGGACCTGTTCAATAAACTGCTTATTACAGTGGTTCACAGACGTTTTGCTTATTTTCTGTCATGACTATGTCAGTTTGCCTCTAAGCCAATGTCTCAGAGTTCTGCAGTGCCCTTGGCTCCCGGACTAAGCCTTGAGATGTGAGTGAAGAATAACTCTTGTGTTTTATGCAGACACTGTCCATGTTCCCTTAGAATAATACATGAGAATAAATAGTTGCTTATGTGCTACCACAAAGAGGCGGGAAAAAATCAGAAGGCTCTGGGATGGGAGAGCACAGGAAAAGTATATCTTCCATTAGTTTAGGAGCCTGTAATTTAGGTGGTTATATCCTTTGAAGGAGGTGCAGTAGGGTAGGGTGGGGAGGTTGGCTTGGGGGAAAAGGAAGTTTCCACCAAACTGTGGTTAATTGTAGTGAACAACAGAAAACTGAGAAGAGAAGCTCGGTTTCAGGAAACAATTCACAAATAAATAACCAATCAACACAGCTCCAACTCCATGGCAACTCCTCTTCAAAACAGTGAAGGAAAAGAACAAGGGAAATTTACAAGCTTTTTTTCCTGGGTGTATATCAGCCTATGTTTTTGACAAGCAGTAGTGGAAAATAGGTGTCCTGCATGCTTCTGTAATATTTTCCTCGTGTTGGTTCTCTCACTTGCTTTCTGCCCCTCCCCACTCTCGGAACATTCAATCTATTTTGTGATCCTGACGTGTCTAGCGACCCAGACTCGCGTGAGGCTTGCTTAGAATTTTAACTACAGTTTTCTTCCTGACTTTTCATGGCTTTTAAGTTGCTCTGGATTTCCTGGCTCCTCATCCTTGGCATGAAAGAACATGAGGCCTCTTTACCTAGAAGGCGGCACAATGAATCAGCAGCAACGCTGGTGATGGAAGGCCCAGGGACCAGATGGCTTTTAAGACAGGCCTTCACAAAAGGAACTGGAGGAGAATGACAGGAAAGGTACAGGAGGGTAACCACAGTTTCAAAGGCACAGAATTTGAGGCTCCTGGAAGGTACTTAATAGAACAGTGCGTCTCAAAATGTAATGTGCACATGAATCACCTGCAGAGTCTGATTCAGCAGGTCTAGGGTGTAGCCTCAAATTCTGTGTTTCTAACAAGCCCCATGGATCACACTTTGAGTGGCAAGATTCTAGATGATCTAATTTAATCATCTCATTTTTTAGAGGAAGACACCGAGATTCAGAGGGGGAAAGTGACTTAGGGAAGGAAGGTCAGAGTAAGTTGAGTCTAAATCTGAGTCTGTAATTCCTGGTCACAGTGCCCTTTCAAAAGAATTATTTAAACAGTCACAGAGATGATGGGGGTGGGGGGGGTTCACCCTCCCCTCACAGTTTGCCTTAGGTAGGATGTCACTGGAGAGATTGCTCAGTTTTGAACCCTAGTAGGTGATCTGAAGAACCTAAACCCTAAAGCAGGTAAAGTTCAGAGTGACTGATCTCTCTATGCTGAACCTGTTTATTTAACCTGTTTATTCAACTTTGATTCTTGAAAGAATCAAAGAGGATGCTTAGGGCCAGAGGATGCAAGCTGTCTCCCATTACCTGTGGTCACACAAGAACAAGGCTGCAGATTCTGCAGGAATGTGAATCTCCTGCTTTAATAAAAAGACATTCAGGCCAGGCGTGGTGGCTCACGCCTGTAATCCCAGCACTTTGGGAGATTGAGGTGGGTGGATCACTTGAGGTCAGGAGTTCGACACCAGCCTGGCCAACATGGTGAATCCCTGTCTTTACTGAAAATACAAAAATTAGACAGTCATGGTGGTGGGTGCCTGTAATCCCAGCCACTCAAGAGGCTGAGGCAGGAGAATTGCTTGAACCTGGGAGGCAGAGGTTGCAGTGAGCTGAGATGGAGCCTCTGCACTCCAGCCTGGGTGACAGAATAGGACCCTCTATAAAAAAAAAAAAAAAAAAAAAGAAAAAATTTGCATAACACTGATAATGCCATGTGTGATTTGGGTAACGTATAGTAAGAGACTTAGCTTCTGGAATAGTCTGTCACTCCAAATGGAAATGGGTCGGCAGGCAAAGTGACTTAGTAGCTCCCAAATGAGCTCACCCTCCAGCCCCACCCTGCTGTTGTCCAGGCCCAGGCTCAGGAATCTGAATTTGTGTTCAACTTTCCAGCTGATTTGAATGTCCACCTAGTTTTAGGAGCCCAACAGATTAGATGACCCCTCAAAATTGCCATTTGGTCTAGGATGGACGGCCCTGGAGATGACGTTGCTCATGTGGTGAGGGGCGTGAGGAGGTGTCATGAAGAGTGAAGCCAGTGGCCCCCTCCCAGAGTTACTGATGCACTCACAGCGTGTCTAGGGATCCCTGACCCATCTCTGAGAAGGACCAGCGCCACTCAAGGAAGGGCCAACAACGAGCTACCATGGTTCCGAGAAAGAGAATCTGCATAGTTCAGATTTTATTAGAAATGAAGAAAGGGAGCAAGACTGAGGTTGTGATCTGAGAGTGTGAGGGAGGCATTTTTGGAAAAAACAGAAGAGCTTTTGAGAATTGAATGAGAAACATTTGATGTGGGACAGATTTTCTCTGAAAATGTGAGCAGCCTGGTGGGTGAATTCTGTGCCCTGTGAAGCATATTGATGAGGACAGCGTATGGAGGAGGGGCCTCCAGACTCTCCAGCTGCCTGCAAGGAGGGAAAAGCTCCACCAAATGAGCCTCTGGAGATGAGGGGCTGTGCTAGGGGGAACTACTGGCCCTCATTCTTACCCTCCTCTCTGTCTTCTGTCACATGCCTTTGCACTTCCTTCCTGTCACGTGCCTTTGCTAAAGAGGGGAGAGGACCCTACTTCTGTGCTCCATCTTTAGGTTGGCCATAGAATTACTTTGGTCAATAGAATTTGGCAGATGGATGGTGCACCAGTCTGGAACCAAGGTCTCAAGAGACCTTAGTGAAAAGAAGAAGCTTTCACTTGCCTTCATGCTCCTCTACTGCTGTCATGAGCAGAGCTTGCCTTGCTACCCTGCTGGTCCATGGGGAATGAGGGCCATGAGAAGCACAGCTGCCCAGTTGACCCACAGACTTTTGGGGAGGGACAGAGCCCAGCCTGAAGCACAGGGGCCCAGCTGAGCCAACCCTGAACTAGCTGAG